CTCAAAAGACAGTGAACATACCTAATACACCTTCCTCCTCCTATTTTCCCCACAGTTAACAACCCTGGGAGATGACTAAGCCGAGTTTACCCAGCTGGCTTTGTACCTAAGGTCGGATTAAAACTCTCAGACTCCTGGATTCTAGCTTTCTGCCTTAACCTAGTTTAGGAGCCCCAAATGAACCATAATAGCATGAAGTGAATTCCAGAGCATCAACAATGACAATTTATTATTTTTAATTTTAATTATTTTTAAATTTTTGTTGGATGATGGACATATATTTATCCCAAGCATCTTTAAACTCAGTTACTGATGACTGATCCACTACCTCTGCTGGAAATTTGTTCTAAGCTTCCACTACTTTTTCTATGAAGTAATACTTTCTTAATATTACTTTTGAACTTCTCTCCTGTTAGCTTACGGTTAGGCATGTGTTCTTTATTTTTGCTTAATATTCAAAATACTGCCTTCTAAACTTTATTGACACCCTTAATATATATTTAAAGGTTTTAATCATATCCCACCTTTCCCTTCTATCCTTCAGGCTGTACATATTCAATTCCTCCAATGTCTTCTGATATGTTTTGTCCCTCAGACCTTGCACCATTTTGCTTGCCCATCTCTGGACTTGCTCAATGTTATCAGTATATTTTTTTAAGTGAGGTCTCCAGAACCGGACACAGAATTCCAATGAACTCTGACTAAAGCCTTATATAGCAGGATTAGGATCTCCTTTTTTCTGCTGATCCCTTTGCTCACTACCCCAAAATACACCCCTAATGTAGTCTTGAGAATTGAAGCTAACATGCCAATATTAAAGCTCAGTCCTGGACTAGGATTCTAATCTCAGGATTTTAGAATTATGTTTGACCCTACAGGCCTGATGTCTTTGCTGTTGTGAGACAGCTATCAGTCTCATTGCTATATAGCCGAACTTTGCAGTCTTGGCCTCTTTCCTGAATATTTAGGCCAATTAACTCTGGAATCAATAGCTAAAGAGAATCAGGGACTTTGGTCATCAAAATGATATCTCCAGTGCCCCTGAATTCTATTGCCAAATGACAAATAGCCACAAGCCCTCTACTTAAGGGCATCTATACAATCTAATGCTAAGGAAATAGAGATGAGCTTTTTCCAGAGTCCACTTCGATGCCTTCCCATCAGTTTCACTGGTGGGAAGATTTCATGGGACTCTTTATTTGCTCTTGTGGATCCAGCAAGGTAGAGTTTCTCACTCATGTTTCTTATACAGTATCCTTTTTATGATGCCCCAAAATGTGAACAGATCACCACAATCATTTCCAAATATAATGACCACACTAATACATTTTATGTTTTATTATTTTTAAGGGATGTTAATCCCACACTCATATACCAGGTGGCCAATCTCATTTAATTCATCTACTCAGTGGGGATTTGAATCAATCTCTACCATCTTGGTCTTCCATCTAGAATGTCAGAAGATGGGTTTATTCTATCTTTGTAAGGTACTTTTATCTATTAATATATACTACTATTCAATAGATAAGTTGTCAGAATTGGTTACATTATTAGCTGTGACAAATAAAAACATTCATCTATCTTTTGGACAGAATAAAATTGCTAGTATGTATCATTAAGTACTGAATGTCTTGCACAGAAAATGCTTTGCAGGGGACTTCAAAAATATCAAAAATAAGATATAGAATTGAATGTGTTTTGTGTGTAGTGTGTGATATTTTGCAAGGCCACAAATTTCAAAGGGTAGAGAAAGATTATCACAGAAATACAGAAACATTACAATTAAAAAACATATTTCATTTATAAGATACTTCCATCAGATATCAAATGGCATTCAGAGAGCAAAATTTAAATTGTCTGCTTCCAGTTTATCTTGCACTCCAAAATATACATCTCAGAAGTATTAACAATGTTATTTAAAATCATACTTTCATGAAAAGTTCTGTTTAGAAACATTTAACTGAAAAAAAATAAATGGTATGCTGTAAACAGAATGAGAATTGCCCACAAAACAAAAATTAAAAGATAACTAACATTTGTTAACTCAGAAAAATCCTTTCCCTCTCATCCCTCTTGAGTCTCGGCAAATACCAATTTAAAATAAGTCTTGTGTAACTCAAATTTTGACTTTCCTTAGGGCAAACACTACAAATGACCTCAATTCTAATTTACCTACCTTGAAACATTGGCAATAGCATTGGAAGTACTATCTTTACTCAGATGGAGCTCTGGCAATAAATTTAATGATGTTTGACTTCAGATAAATGTAAGATAAATGTAAGTTGACATATAAAACTTTTAACATAGAAGTTAAAAATTATAAAGGAATTTATGAATAATTTAGATTGAATCAGGTAGCTCATTTAGAATTGCATAAATGAAAATGCTACAAGATTTATTTGTCAATCCTTCTAAAATTATTGATTTTTCTGGAAGGCAAATTAAAATGTATGTGTTCCTCATTACCTATACTTTTCAGACCTCATATAAATTACTATACCTTTTGAACTTGGTTGCTTGTCACTAATAGGCACAAATCATCGGAAACATACAATGTGGAATTTAAAGCAGGCTGCAGGCTATTATTGCTAAATGACTAAATTATTCAAAATATATGCACGAAGATAAACCAGGGCAGACATAACTAATCTTTTACTAAGCTACCTATAAAGGAATATTGGGTTTCTAGGACTAGTTTTGAGGCAAAGATGAAGAATTCATAGCATTCAGTTGGATGAGATAGCTAACCTTTATTTTTAGCAGTAGCAAACTGGGTTTTTTTGTTGCAGAAAATAAAAGTCTACCCACATGTTCCTATTAATTTGTCTGATAAGAATTTTTGAAGGAATAGAGTTGAGACGTTTTTTATGTTGATTTAGCAACAGCAACCTTCACCAACATTCATGCAATAGATACAGACAAGGATCCACACATTCCATTACTGTAAGTAACTGATTGTTTTACATATGGTTCATACAACAAACGATGATGGTCCAGGTCACATATAATCCAAAACCATAAACTGTGATTTGTAAACTACAGTAGTGTGATTCACATGAAATAAATCTAAACAAACCACTTAATACAAGGTGTTGGCCCTGAATACAATACTGTTTTAAGATATTAACTCTGCATCTCTAATAGTCCCTATAATTAATCCTTATTGTAAAAGGAACCTATTCCATTTCCTAGGAAAGGGCTGGACATTTACCCATCATCTCCAAACCTCATTTTTCTTATATGCATCTGTGGATAATTTTGATATTTTTGACATTGATGTATTGTATATATCCATGGTGGCGAACTTGTGGCACGCAGAGCCCTCTCTGTGGGCACGCGCGCCATCGCCCCAGTCCTAGGACTTCAGCTGGGTTTTATAAAACCTTTTCGCTTTAGGCCTCCACCACCATGTGCAAAAAAAAAAAAGGTTCATTCAATCAATCAATTTCAACTTCTTGCGGGGAAAAAAAAGATCTCGCAAAGTTGGAATTGATTGATTGAACTTTTTAGTCCCACCCAGTCTGCCCACCCGGCACCCGAAGATACATAAGTGGGTTTTGGGTTGCAGATTGGGCACTTGGTCTTTAAAAAGTTTGCCATCACTGGTATATATCCAAATATGCTAGTATCACAAAAAAAACCTCCTCCAAAGTACAAAGTTTTGAGGCATGTCATTTATTTAATACTCATCTATGAGAGGGTAGCCTACAAATTATACCCTTTTTCGCAACAAACAGATTAAATGCTTAAATGAAAAACTCAAGAAGAGAGCCAACCTAGAAATAAGGAGACATTTTCTGACAGAATAATTAATCAGTGTAATGACTTATCTCAAGAAATTGTGAGTACTCCAATGCTGGAGGTTTTTAAGAAGAGATTGGACAACCATTTGTCTGAAATGGTATAGGTCTCCTGCTTGAGCAGAAGACCTCCAAGGTTCCTTCCAACTCTGTTATCAATAAAACTATTCATTCAAAATTGATGTAATTTCTGATATTGCTTTATCAATATTACCATAAAACATTTGACTACATCATAGAGAACTGAATAATATTATACATTTTAAATGTATAATTCAGATACTCTTTTTGGTAAGCAGGAATTAAATCCATTACTATCTGACAACAAAAAGAGGTAACAGCAAGAAAAGAGATTGCAGATATTGTGAAATCTGGAATTATGCATCACATTGCTTTTGTAAATAGTGAGCCACAGAAAGGATTTAGAGTTTGAGAGTTTGTTCTCTTGGTATCTAAGTCTCTTTATTGAAAGATTAACATATCCCCCCCCCAAAAAAAAGAGTATGAAGGAAAAAATAAGACAATAAGGTAATAATGTCAGAATGTCAGTTTAGGAATAACATCAGCAGCATGATTAGACTGCAATTTCTGAACAGTAAAACTGGATGATAAAATATTCAGCCTTAGAAAATCTCAGCTTTTAAACAATGATTAGGTCAGCTTCATCATTTATGCTTTATTACTTCAATCTTCTCACTAAAACATAATTTTATAAACTTACACATTGTGTAGTATATTCCAACATCAGTCTCTGGCATTTTCACTAATTTTAGGTTCACTAAAACACCATTGTCTGAAATCCTGGAAACTACTTTCACTTTGTGCAGAAAATAGGTTTAATGAATCTACTCAGCTAGATCTTGATTCCATGTCTAGATCCTAATTGTATATTTCACAATATGAATGGATCTGAATGAGCAAATGATGTGGCCTTCCAAACTCAGAAAAGATTTCTGGAATGGACAGTACTTCAAATGAGAAATATTTGAAGTAGCACTATGTTACATTGTGTTTTGAGCAACTCAAAGGATTTAAGCCACTTTAATGCTTGTTTCAAAGAAAGATTCTATAGTATTTGTGCATTATAACGTCAATAAAAATCAAGATTTTTTTTTATTCTGCTTGAAAACAAGTTTATGATAGCTTCAATTTCCTTTTAAGTTTTCTTCAGTATTACAGATCCACATTCTTTTAACTTACCTTAAATTCTGAAGGTCTGATTTTAAAAATGGTGCTGTGTTCTGGGGAGGATTACTTCCATGAGGATGACATCTGAAACCATCTTCAACAACCAAATAATAGACTCTCTGGATAACTACTTGGACTTGGATTGCAGTGCTTTCAGTTGTCCCTTGCATCTCCACAACATCAAGAAGAGAGTCATTCAAGGAAATAACCGATACCTTGGGTTCAATATTGAAACAATTCTCTGTACTTTTAGAAGTCTTCATATTGGAACAGGAAATCTGTTTCAAAAAATCCTCAAATTACTACATAAATATTGGGAAATTAATTATCATATTTTTAGAAATCCAAAGGCCAAACTATACAGGTTAGTTCTTCCTGATTTACCAGAGTTGGTGAAACAGTTCCCAGTGATAAATATGGCAGCAATAGCCTCAAAACGCAGGGCTATAAAATTGGGATCATACTCATTTATTCAGAAGTGAAAGACATGCAATGCCTCCATCTTGCTGCCTTTAACTGTATTTTCAGAATGTATTCCAGAACTAGTTGGATATCATCCTTATATTAAATCAATTTATGTTTTGGATAACACTGAACAAAAACTAGGCTATGTCCATTTCTAAAAATAGAGAATTTAGCTTCAGTGTAAAAGTACCATGAGGCCTATACATATTTGTTTTTATGAAATACTTCCATATATTTATACATTATGTACCAAGGAAAGTAAAAGCATCAAGGAGCAATCATTAAACAGATAATAGAACATTATTCTATTGAAAAAAACTTTAACAGGAAGGTTTAAGAGAAACACTAATGAAGCCCAAAGTACTTGGTTCAAGCTTAGCATAAGAGAAATATGAAAATAATGGCAGATGATTAAGATAATGATTTATTAAACTTGTAAGATTATTTAAAGCAGAGTCAAATCCAACCCAAGAGTGGACCTTCAGCCAAAGTCCATCTTCCTTAACCCTTCCTCCATTTAGAAAGAAGATTGCCTTCCCTCTGTGCCATGGATACTTTTACATATACCCAAGTCAGTGGGCTTCAAAACCCACAAGACCCAGCACAACCAATAGGTCCCTCAGCAACACATACCGAAGGACTCAAAGGCTAGTACTGCTCACTATTCTACTTTTTCCCACTTCTACCTACACCTCCTCCTACTGCTCCTTCAATTATTACTCCTTATGAGTTCTACTGCTAGAGAACAGTCTTTCTTTCTATCTGCTTTGGGCTTCTTCAGGCTGGTTTACAAATATTCACAAATACCAGGACCCCTAGTTACCTCTCTGCTCTGCTTTTACAACCAACAATTGCTGTGCAGGCTAGGAACAGGACTTAAAGGGACAGGACAACAGAAGTACAGGTGCTGGCCATTTTGTAGGCAGTCTGTCCTCTCACAAAGGACAGTCTTTTTCCATTTAAAAGAAGTCAGATCTTTGTTCCCACCTGCTTCTATACAGAAAAAAACCCACTCCATTCAAGAAGTAGGAAAAGATAACTCCCTATCCCATCTACAAGAAAAGGCATGGAATCACTAGCTCCTATGTCCTTCTGCAGAAATCAAGAGATTCTTTTAGTGATATGATGGTTTGCTTTCCAAGTCCTCCTATATAGGCAGGGTTTTTTAAAAAAGGGACATGATTATTATCCAGGTCTCTTTGAGCCACACAAGGTCAATAGATCTACTACTACTTTAGACTAATTATCTTCGGTAGTAAATTATTCCGGCTACTTATTATCCCAACTCATTTTCTATCTAGAGGAAAGAGAAAAAAGTCTGCAAGAGAAAAAATAAGATCACAAACACAGCCCTAAAACACTCTGTAAAAAATGTTTACATTTTTTAAAACATGAACTGTTTGAGAAGGCAGAGATCAATAAATATTTATTTGAATCAGGAGGAAGTGCTAATTCCTGGTAAAGAAACCATACTTTGGGAAAATGGAGCTTATAAACACATGCTTAGTGTTGAAAATTATACATTTAAAGCTTCCCAATTTACTTGTATCATTCTCCTACAAAATGCTTTTGTATTTATATTTAATTTCTCCAAACTGATTAATAAGTAAAATACATGGTAAGATTTCTTTAAAATATATCACAAAATAATAAATTACAATTTTGGAGAACAACAAAAGAAAACTCCAGATCACATGCATTTTTATTGCAACTTACAGTAAATATAAAAACTGCACACACCCTATCAAAATGCCAGGTTTTTGAGATATAAAAAAATCAGATCAAGATAAATCACTTCATAATTTTTTCCGTCTTTAATATAACATATAAATTGCATAATTCAATTGAAAACAAACTGAAATATTTTAGGGAGAAAATAATGATAAAAACTTATGGTTGTATAAGTGTGCATATTCTTAAACTGATATTTGTTGAAGCACCTTTTGAGTTTGACAGCATTCAGTCTTTGGGGATAGGAACCTATCAGCATAGCACGTCTTGCCCTGGGAATCTTTGCCCATTCTTCCTTGCAAAAGTGGTCCAAATTTGTCAGACTGCAAGGGCATCTGCTGTGCACAGCCCTCTTTGGGTCACCCCAGATTTTCAATTGGATTCAGGCCCAGGCTCTGGTTACACCACTCCAAAACTTTGATCTATTCTTTTGTTTATTTGGAGATTTGATTTGGGTCATTGTCCTACTGAAAAATGAAATTCCTATTCATCTTCGGCATTTTAACAGAGAACTGAAGATTTTGCCTCAAAACTGATTACTATTTGGAACAGTTCATAATTTCTTCCATCTTGACTTAAGTCTCAGTTCCAGCTGAATAAAAATAGCCCCAAAGCATAATGCTGCCACCACCATGCTTCACTATGAATATAGTGTACTTTTGGTGATGAGCAATTATTTTTATGCCAAACATACTTTTTGGAATTGTAGTCCAAAAGTTCAACCTTAGTATCATAACACATTTTCCCTCATGCTTTTGTTGGATTTGATGTAAATTTTTGCAAACTGTAGCCACGCTTGGATTTTTTTTTTAAGAAGGAAAGGCTGCCCTCTTGCTACCCTACCCCAAGGCCAGATATATGAAGACTATGGAAATTGTTGTCACATGTAGTACACAACCAGTACTTGCCAGATATTCCTGCAGCTCCTCTAATGTTGCTATAGCCTCTTGGCAGCTTTTCAGACCAGTTTTCTTTTTTTTTTAAATCAGGTTAGAGGGGCATCCAATTCTTGGTAATGTCACTGTTGTGTCATATTTTCTCTACTTGTTAATGCCTGTCCTCATTGTGTTCCACGGTATATCCAATGCTTGGAATATTCTTTATATCCTTCTCCTGATTGATATCTTCCAACAAGGAGATCCGTTTGATGTTTTGTAAGTTTTTTGTAGACCATGGCTTTTGCTGCCAGAGGCAAATAAGTATAGGTAGTCCTCCACTTATGACAACTGAATCCCAAATTTCTGAACAATTTGTTCATTGTTAAGTAAACTTTGCCCCATTTAAGAACTTTCTTGCCATATTTGTGAATTACTGCAGTTAAATTAGTAATATAGTTGTTAAGTGAATCTTTTTTCAGTGCCATCTTAACTTCGAACAGCCACTAAACAAACTGTTATAAGTCAAGGACTACCTGTATATGTCAAACAAATCCTACAGAATAGCTGAAATTTATATGGGCTTGATCAGAGTCACTTTAATTGATGGCAGGTGTGTGCTGACTTCTATTTAACATTAGTTTGAATGTGACTGGTTAATTCTGAACATAGAGACATCCCTGCTTATAAGAGGATGTGTACACTTATGCAACCATGTTATTGTAAGTTTTTTATTGTTATTTTTGCCCCTAAAAGATTTCAGGTTGTTTTTCACTGTTGGCAGTGCTCACCTAGAAACTGTGGAGACTATATTTACTCCCACTTTAGGTATGAAAACCAGCTGGATGATTGTAGGCCACTCACTGAGAGTCGAACCGACCTCACAGGGTTGTGAGGAAAACAGGAGGAAAAAGGAGTATTAGGTATTTCTGCCACCCTGAGTTACTTATAAAGTAATAAAGATGGGATTTTAAAAATCTGTCAAATAAATAAAAGACATAAAATCACAAATGGCAACCACAGGACCGCAGACATGCTGCGATGGCCAGAGCTATCAGAACCAGTCATAAGTACAATTCTTTCAGCCCCCCCCCGCTGCCCATGAGTTTCAATAATTGCTGAACAAGTGATCATTAAATGAAGACCACTTGTACTAGAGACTGCGGGGGGGGGGGATGCTTGTAAAAATTATATGAAACCTGTTCCTTTCAAACATTCAAATTTGCTCAAATGGGAACATACACAAATTCATGTGTTCATTATTTTCAAAAATGTATTCATCAATTTATTATAAAGCATTAAATCACAAAATAAACTTTACCTGATTAACTGCAGGTATTAAAGAGCAACTGTCTTTTATATCATATAAATTAAATATCCAGGCTAAAGATACATTCCTTTTAGCAAGCAGTGGCTCTTGCAAGAGGGGCTTGTCCATATCAGTAGATATATCTGTTGATGCTTTAAGAGTGACCTTTTGACTGAAATATGTATTCAAGATAACTGGAATATTTTCATTCTGCAGAAAGAGTTTTTGCCTGAAACAATGGATATATTTTGTTAACTTTCAAATTATTTGAATGAGAATCTACTTCAGTTTTATGTATCAATTACTTTCCTACACTTAAACACAATGAATGAAAATTATTTGTTTTAACAATATGAAGATATTAAAATGTAAACACAATGAATGAAAATTATTTGTTTTAACGATATGAAAGTATTAAAATCTATTTTAATTTAATTAGTTTTAAAAAATAATTAATAATGAGTTCAGTTTTAGCTATCTAAAGACATAAAATATTGACTGAATGACACCAGATAAAGGATAATTGCACTGCAACATATTTCAAATTTGTATTCTAAGATTTCCTTGCTTCCTTAAAAACGTATTTAAAATCATAAAGTTAGCACAAATGCTAAGAGTAATTACAGAGGTTTTATTTGTACTTTTTTTCCCAAAATACAATTCCATATATACAAAATGTATTATTGTGAAAAGAATGTGCACAAATAATTTAATGAGATGTGATTATACAACATTTGTGAATAAACCCAGAAAGTTGAAATCAATTATAAGCAATTTGAATTAAGAAAAATTCTAATACAGTGGTTACTCAAACTTCTAAAAATAGCAGAACAGAAACTTTTCCTACGCTTTAATATTCTATATTCAAACATTTCTTACAGGGTAATAGTAGCAAAGAAAGCAAATTAAGATTATGTTTAATTGTATTTAGGTCCTCCACTTACACTTAATCAGGATATTTAATCTTATTTTACAAGTAAAAGAAAGAAACCAGTAAAAAAAAAACCTATATATCCTCTGCCTCTACCCAAGGCCCCAGCTCGACAGCTGCATAAACAGAGCCATTTGAGAAGGTAAAAACAACAAAATGGGAATGTACAGTATATGGCAAAGTAAGTGTGTGACTGGACCAAATCTTAAAGTCAGCAAGATATATACTTTAAGTGAGTCAATTTTATTATCCATATACAACCATTAGTGAAAGTTAAATAAAAATGATGAGAAACAAAACATTCTGGCATGATGAGACTCATGTTTTTTTGCTACTGTTGGAGAGCTGCATATTTTCAAATTGGCACATGAACAGGCCACTGCCTTTTCTCCCAAAAGAAGTATACTGTAATACTGAGAAACAGAAACCAGTGTAGTGCAAGAATAGATTCTATCATTACAGGAAGTCCTCGACTTATAACAGTTCGTTTAGTGACCATTCAAAGTTACAATGGCACTGAAAAATGTGACTTATGACCATTTTCACAATTACGACCTTTGCAGCAGCTCCATGATCATGTGATCAAAATTCAGATGTTTGGCAACTGGTTCATATTTAAAACTGTTGCTGTGTCCCAAGATCACATGATCACCTTTTTGCGATCTTCTGACAAGTCAAGTCAATGGAGAAGCCAGATTCACGTAATAACTGGGTTATTAACTTATCAACTGCAGTGATTCACTCAACAATTGTGGCAAGAAAGGTTGTAAAATGGGGCAAAACTCACTTAACAAATGTCTCACTTAACAACAGAAATGCTGGGCTCAATTGTAGTCGTAAGTTGAGGACTACCTATATTCTTATAATTACATTTATTATTATAGTCCAAGGCACTGTCCAGGATTCTTTAGAATATAAAAAACGTAAGTTTTAAGAAATAAGTACCAGTTGCTACGTATGATGGCATCATTTATTTTTTTTAAAAAAGGATTTATTTTAAGAACACTTTTAAAATCTAGCCTATACCTTTCTATTTATTTTTACAGGATCAGTTAAAATGGATTAATTTATATCTACCATTCTCTTAAATTATGTGGATTACACTCCATATCCTAAAATTAGAGCAAAACAGGGGCAAAAGGCAGATATCATCCAAATATATGAAGGCCTCTAGTTGATTATAGTAACAAAAACATTTATTTTCTTAGAAAATAATTTCCCTCAAAGCATTAAGAGATGTCTACATATTTTGGAGTTTTCCTGGATTTAAAGTGCCTTGATTGATGTAACAGAATAACAGAATAACAGAGTTGGAAGGGACCTTGGAGGTCTTCTAGTCCAACCCCCTGCTCAGGCAGGAAATCCTATAACAGTGGTGGTGAACCTATGGCACACGTCCCAGCCCCACCTCCCACTGCGGCCCTCCTCACCAGCAGCATCCCCAGAGGAGAGTTGCCCCGGGCGCAGCCCACACAGAGCAGCGCAGCCAAGGACATGGCAGCCGGGCAGCAGAGACAAGACTCCACCTTCGTGCCCCATCACGCGCAGATGATGCTGCGGGGTGCAGGCAGAGTGCATGGCCACCATGGCGCTGCAGGGGTGCCTGGGCGATCTGCTGCGGTGGGCCATGGAGGCGGTAGGTGGCCCTGTGGCGAGCAGGGGCGGGGGGACGGGGTGGTTTTTTGGCACTCGGTGTCTAAAAGGTTTGCCATCACTGCCCTATAACATTTCAGAATGGCTGTCCAATCTCTTCTTATAGTGATGGAATACCCACAACTTCTGATGGTAAGTCATTCCACTGATTAATTGTTCTGTCAGGAAATTTCTCCTTAGTCCTAGGTTGGTTCTCTCCTTGATCAGCTTCCATCCATTGTTTCTTGTTCTACCTTCAGGTGCTTTGGAGAATAGCTTGACTCCACCCTCTTCCTTGTGGCAGCCCCTCAAATACTGGAAGACTGCTATCAGACCACCCCTAGGCCTTCTTTCCATTAAACCAGACATATCCAATTCCTGCAACTGTTCTTCATATATATGAGTATTTTTTATGATTCTGTGATTTATCTAATTATATAAAACAATGTAGAATAACATACCTGTAAATTTTAAAAAGCTAATAAAATAAAACAATTGGTGAGAGATCTTGAATAAAACAAGCTATTCATTTAAATGGATTCAGGAAGATAAACAATTAAGCTGAAGTTATTCAGAAGTCTTGGACAAATCCATAATACAAAGTAAAGAGGAAACTCTGAAATTGTCCTTACATAACCCCACAGCCTTGAATAAAGCCCCCTTTGTTCAAAGTATCATGATCATTGCCTGTTTCATAGTACAAAATTTTTACAATGAATTGTAATATTGAACAATTGAAATTTCTGATCAATTTCATAGAGTTGGATATATATTTTGGATAATTCAACAAGATTTATTTTTAAAAAGAAATCAAGAAAAGAAAAAAAAGGGGGGGAGACTACTTCCTGACTATCAGTTACTCCGTCAATCTTTTACAAAGACAACACTTTATGGCCAGCTTTAATCACTACACTATAGAATTATTAGCAGCTCAAAACAAAAATATGATACATGATATGACACAATATAATAGGATAATAAAAATATTGTAAACTTTAACTAATTCTTAAGTAATGTCAGACATTTATGATTTATATGTCATATGTAATTTATTCAGCAAATCATAGCTAAACTACACACACAGACACATGCACATTCACCAAGAAAATATGTAGTACATCCGTGGATTACTCCCTCTCAACCCCTCGCCCGTGCTGAAGAGTTCTGAAGGCAGAACTTCCTCTCTGTACAGGTAGTCCTTGGGTTATGATAGAAATTGGGACAAACGTTTCCATTGCTAAGTGATGTGGTTTTAAAGCATGACATCACATAACTGCATCACTTAGCAACTGATATCCCAGAAGTCCCAATTGCCATGACTGTGACATGGTAAGTTTCAGGAGTCCCTGGCAAGCAAGCCAACAGGTGAGAGCTCAGAACCAGAAATAGGTGACACAGGTGAGCATTAGAGAGCATGGGACTTGCCATAGTGTGGGGCTTGAGGCAGAACTCAGCAGTCTCAACCCTCTGCTGCTCCCTGGCCCTCTACTTCAGACCCCAGCATCGGCCAGAGTGCTTCAAGTCCCAGCCCAGCAGCGCTAATCATCCTCAGGCCCAGGACCACAAGCACCAGCTGGCCAGAAGCATGTTCAGTGCCAGCTGGCCAAATGCCCAGCAATGCTAGCCTGCCTCTAGCCCCAGTGCTGGGGAAAACCATACTATGACTCAAACTCTGTGCTTCCTAATACCTGCCAGCAGCACCCACCATCCTGCCCACAGCTCTTACCGACCAGCCTTTCTCCTGAGACTTCGACTTTTTCCCAGTCTAAGAAGACAATGAAGGTCAGTTGGGGGCAGCAGGGGGGCAGATGTAAATGTGGGTGGGCCTGAATTTTTATCACATGATCATTGGGACACTGACAGCCAGAACATCGAGAACCAGTCATAAATTCATTTTTTCAATGCTTTTATCACTTTAAATAGTCACTGAATGAATGGACATAAGTTGAGGACTACCTTTAATTGGCAGTTGGGCAGCTTAATTTTTGCTAACTATCCAGTATGCCTCTAGACATAATTTTGTATGCCTTGTCCCTTCCAATGTTATATTTTTTATATAAGTGAGTGGCTGCTAGTATAGCAATAAAGCCATACAAATAAAAGTTTAACCTGCAAATGTGGACATCCCCATTTCTATACCCTACTCCTTCACAAAACATGATGAAGCTAATCTGCAATCATCTTTACTTTTACAGACTGAGAAACACTCAGGAAACACAAGCAGCCAGTGGCCATCCTCTTATGGAAATGAATCAATGTAGTTCTGATACTACACAGGTTTATTTAAAATTGGAAAGAATCTCTTTTTTTTCTGTGATGCTATATCTGCAAAGGGCAGATTTCATCTCTCCCCGCAGAGGACAGAGATAGGAAAGAAAGGGATTGAAAAAAGTAATCTGTTCTTCTGCAAAGAAAGCAAAGTGATCGTTCTAGGAATGGAAAAGGGTTATGCAAGGGAGAGATCGCCTACAAAAGTTGATTTTTTTTTCTTTTCTTGACCCTCCCGTCCTTGCAGAGTGGAGAGATTGGAGAGAAAGGGGTTTCAAGAGAATAAGCTGTTTGTGTAGCACACCCAGGGCTCCCAGCCCGACTCTAGTGTGACCATATTGCTTTTAATGGGTACAGGTTAGTATACAGGCAGTGGAGCATTCTATGAGGGGAGTGGT